GCGGAGCGGCGGGGAGCGCACGCCAGCCCCTCCGCGTGTCGCGGTCGCCATGACGACCGGGCGGCCCGCAACGGCGGCTGGGACTGGTCGTTGAGGCTGGGAGGCGTCCCGCGCCCCGCCAGACCTCGCTGGGCTCTGCTGGGCCGCGCCGGCACCGACCTAGCTCCATCCGCACTGGGACTATGCGAAAATGGTCGGGCAGATGAGGAGTAAACTCAAAGAAGTGACTCCAGAACCGTGTCAGTCTTCCCGCCCCATGCAGTCGAGGCGGCGGCGGCGCGGGGCCTCCGGAGCCGGGGAGCCCGAGGTGGAGGAGGAGCCGCAGGTGGAGGTGGGACCGCCAGAGCGACCCCTGCAGCCTTCGCCCCTCGGCGGCGGGAACCTGCCAGGGGGCGCCCGGGGGTACTCGCCGCGGAAGATCCGACTTCTGAAAGCGCAGAATTCCTTGCAACTGGACGTGGTCTCCAAGACCCTTCCAGTCGGCCGCTTCCAATTCTTACACAGTCTCCTGGAGCAGCTCTACCAAAAGATGCACTTATTGCAGGCGCGTGAGTTCTCAAGCAGGACCACTTTGTGCATAGGTGAGCAGGGCAGGAGAGCCCTTGGGGGGACCGGACGGACCTCCCGGCCGACACCCTCCAGCCCCGGCGCCGAGGCTCACGGCTCGGGGTCGCGGGGACCCGCAATCTGCTTCCTCTGAGCCTCGGGGTTTGCAGCGGTTTTCTTGAGCCCCGAAGGAGATCTGCGGAACAAGAAAGGATTTAGAAGTGCCTAGCAGCAATAAGGGCAAGATCTGAGCTCTTGGAGCATCGCTGACAATAATAGCCAGCTCCCTTACTTCTTATTTTGAATCATTCGCCCGAGTATTTTTGACACAGTGGATACTCATATGTCAACAAAAGGTTCTCTTAATCAGGGCATATTATGATAGTCTGTAAAAATGATTGAATAGCTCTTGAGAGAAAGACATTATATTTATTATCACCTTAAATAAAGCAGAATGAAATAATTTTTTAAAAATTAGCTGAGAACATTAATAATGGAAATAGGGTCAAAGTAAACCATATATTACTCGTGTAGGTACCCATTTACTTCCACCTTGCTGCGGAATGTCCATGCCATGAGGTATTTTCTTCCTTAATATTCATCCCTCATTTTCTCTAGCTTAAGAGGGAACTTAAATGTTACTGTTTTAATGAATCAATTTTTAACTTAGTCTTTGGTGAGACTGGCTACTGACATAAACTGAGACATAGAAAAATCTCTCTCCACATAAGTTACTGTAACTTCTTCATCATAAACTGTTGACATCAAAATAGAATAAGTCTCCACACTTGCAATGTTAAGAATACTTGAGGATTTCAATTGTCTCCGATGTTTAATTATGCCAACACAAACGTCCCACATCCAGAATCAGCTTGGTCTTAGAAACCAAGCTGTTTTTCCGTTCCCAGCACAAGCTCCAGTGCACTCAGCTCTGACACTTCGGAGGCACTCGAGGGTTGGGTAAAATAATGACTGATTGTATTAAGTGTTATGGGTGTTCCGAAGAGTGAGCTAATGCTTTAGGTTGGGAAGTGGCAAATGAGATCGAGAATGAATTTTAGGAAAAGGTGGGATTGTGTCAAAAGGCTAGTATTTGGATGTATGGAGCTGGGATAACAAGTACTAGAGGCCGATAGTACGGCATGATTCAAGTCATTGGAAGTAAGAAAACGTAAAAGCAAAGTAGGCTGAAATGAACGGTAGAAAAAGAAGAGGATGTGAGTTGAGAAGGTTGATTGGGACTAGTCATAGAGTCTTATTAAAGGATAGGTGTAAAACATTTGAACCTCATTCTGTAGGAACTGATTGATTCTTTAAATTTTTTTAATCAGGTAAAATTACATAGCGTAAAATTAACCATTTTAAAGTGAACAATTCAGTGGCATTTAGTACATTCCCAATGTTGGCACTGAATTATTTTTAAATAGGCAAGTGACATGACCAGAAGTGTGCCTCAGAGAGATTAACTTGGCAGCTATGTATAAGATGGACTGAAGATGGAAAGGACACAGCAAGAATAGTTGGAAAACTATTACTAGAATCTGGGCAGTAATAGTCTTAAGTGAGGTAGCCACAGCAGGAGTGGAGAGGAGATCCCAGAGGTGAGATTGATGGAGACATTGACAGGACTGGTGGGTGGTATGATGGAAGAGGAGAGAGGGGGAGGAAGGAGACAGACACTTAGTTCAGGAACGAAGGGTGTGGATTTGTGAATTATCCATGTAGAAGTGTTGATTACAACTTTAAGATTGAGTGAGATTGCTAATGGATACCAATGTGAGGAAAGAAAAGTATATGAAGTAAAGATACTTGGAGAAATCTTTTAAATTTAGTTTTAAGAGATGAGTGGAAAAGAAAAAACAGATAAAATCAGAGTAGTCAGAAAAATAGAAGAACTGGGAGAGTTGGAGTGATGGAAGATGAGAGAGGAAGAAATCCAAGAATCTGACCAAATGCTACAGAAAAACTGAGAAGCATAAGAATTAAAGGAGGCCATTAACTATGCTAACTAAAAGGTCATTGGTCACTTAAAAGAGTTGAAGAAGAATTTGGCCAAGATTCTTTTCATTGAATGGGAGAGGGAGAGGAAGGAAAAGGGGGGAGAGGAAGGGAAAGGGGGGAGAGGGGGAGGGGAAAGGGGAGGGGTGGGGGAGAGAGAGAGAGAGAGCAGAGAGAGACTGATACTATCTCATAGTTTGAAGTCTGTCGTATCAAGGGGAATGTTTTAAGGTCTAGAATATTTAAAGACTGAGAGGAAGAATCAAGTGGAGAGGGTGAGATTTCAAAACAGATAGTACCTGATGGAGCAGTCTTGGGATATTTGGGGGTGGGGGTAGAATTAAAGCACGCATTTGAGAAGTTAAATGTAGAAAAGAGGAGAGATAATTCCTCTTCTGAGATGGTAGAGAATATAAAAACAAGGATTACTCTCTAGGTAAATGTTTAGAGAAATGTTGAAGTGAAAATAAAAGAAATTGGGAGTGCTGGCATCTAGTGGTCTTTGTTTCAGTGAAGTATAAAGCTTCAGAGGTGAGACTGATAGAGGTAGGATGCAGGGGACCAGGGAGTCATGCTTTCTATCAGTGTGGGAAGGCTTTGTGATAAGTACTTCATGTATTTAGCATATTGGCGTCATTACACTGTATCTTTTTTTTCCCTCAGATGTGGCGTGAAGGGGGTGGGGGGAGTGAGAAACATGAGAGATTTTGAGGATCTTTGGAAAGCTAGGTGAATTTGGTAGCATATTTGAACTTTTCCTTTTCTTTAAAAATCATTTTAAGAGTTTTTGCCAGTATGCATAGTTGTCAGGAGAATACAAAAGAGGATACAAATATAGTAGACTAGTACAGTTTCTTTATATCTTAAAGTTAGTGAAGCCTTATCAGAGGGGCATCTGTTTCAAGTTGAGAAGGTATATGGGTTTAATTTCAGAGTGATTGAGAATATAGCAAATAGAAAGGGTTAATGTATGCATCAAATGTATATATTTTTTTCCTGTAAAGAGCCAGGGAGTGAATATTTTAAGTCTGGCAGGTTAACTATAGTCTATTGTTCTTGCTATTCCTCTTCCTCCCCATCCCTTCTTCCTTTTTTAAAATGTAAAGACCGTGTTTAGCTTGCAAACAGTACGAAAACAGACCGTGGGCCATAGTTTGCCCATCCTGGTATACAGCAAGTAAATCTTCTGAGAACTATTTAAGATAAGCCCAAGATGGTTAGTAATATGAGAGATGATCTGGAGAAGCATCATGGTAAATTTCAAGATTACAATTTTAAAATTTCTTCTAAATTTAATATCTTCAATAATTATTTGATTAATTTGCATTTATTTTGTTAATCAAGTTGAGTAATTTTTTATTTTTTTAAGAGGTTAATGTTGGTAGTTTCTAAGATGACATGCCAAGTAAGTTTGAGACAACCATAAGAGATTATAAAATCTTAGCTGAGAGGCAGGACTTCTGGAGTAGCCAACTAAATTCGCTCCTTGCTCTTCAGAAACAGTTATGAAAATACTTGGAAAATTATCAAAATCTCTTTTTTAAAAGACATTGGAAAGGTTTACAACAGTCTGAAGAGCATTAATTCAAGAAAAGCTGCTGAACCTCTTTACAGTAAAATAAAAAATAAGTTAAAATGCCACAAACTTTACTGTTTAAATAAATCCTACTCCCTGGCTCTTTACAGAAAAAAAAAGTAAAGTTTGTGGCATTTTAACTTATTCTATTCCCATCCCCTCTCCTCAGCTCCATGGTACTCTTCAAAGCAAGCAATTTCCCAGCCACCAGAGGGGACAGACCATGTTTGCAGCTCCTCCAAAAACTTCATACCCAGAACAGTGTTACTATCTAACTTGTTTTATAGCTCCTTGGTAAAGTTTTATGCATGAGACGTTGGCACGATGACTACGGATAGAGTCTGGGCCATCTAAAGGCTCCTAGGTGTGATAGAGTACTTGTATTCATCAAAGGTTGAATTGAACAATGAGGCTTTCAAATATCTGCTGTGACAGTGATTGCTTGCATTAAACCATTTTCTGATGAGCATAAGGATACCTCTTGGCTGATGTCTTCTGAAAGTATTTAGCTGAGTGTACCATATATATGTACTTCTTATTAAAATTTTATATAAAGAAACAGAGAATAAGAGATAATAGAGAAAAATACTGAAAAATCATAAAAAGGTCAAAATCATCCAGAGGTTCATCACTCTTTTACAAATTGAGTTGTAAAAACCTTTCAAGTCTCTCCCTTTGCTCATCAAGTTCACCCAGCAGAGGTAAGCACTATTCACAATTTGCTTTATGTCCTAGATTTTTTTCTTATGTGTCTATAGGCAGAAGTAGCTGGCCATATTACTTTATATGCTATCTCTCTAGACATGTAAGGGAATGCATTTGAAAAACTTGTTTTAGTGGTATTTTATAGTAAAGTAGCTTTAATAACTTTATTACTTTTTTTTTCTTTTTCCAGCTGCCTTTGTGGGAATTTTGCACTGGTAAGATTCATTTTCAATTTGAAATAAGTAAAAACACTTAGATTAAAATTTGCCATCATTGCTTACATACAGTAAAACAATAACTTCTGGCTAGGTGTATAGAACATCTATATGTGTACCAGTTAACACATATATATTACTTTTTTTTTTAACAAGCCTCATATGTGAAGCAGCATTTACAAAATAGATTAGGGAATTAGTAATTTATGATAAGCATATTTTTGCCTTGCCAAAGAATTCACCATTGTGTTTCTTTAAATAGCCAGCTTTTCTAGTGTATTTAACATTTTTGTCTCATCTAAAATACTTCTTTATTTTATGGTAGCTATGTCTTGTTAGTACCATAAGTTTAGAGATAAAGTTTTAGGAACACCTGCCAATTGAATATGAGATAGAAGCCTGGGCGCGGTGACTCAAACCTGTAATCCCAGCACTTTGGTAGGCTGAGGCGAGAGAATTTCCTGAGCTCAGGGGTTCGAGACCAGCTTGGGCAACTTGACAAGACCTCGTCACTACAATTTAAAAGAAAGAGGGAAGGAAGGAAGGAAGGAAGGAAGGAAGGAAGGAAGGAAGGAAGGAAGGAAGGAAGGAAGGAAGGAAGGAAGGAAGGAAGGAAGGATTACCCCTCCTCCCCTTCCCTGGGGAGATGAATCCTCTCTTCTCTCTCTCTCTCTCTCTCTCTCTCTCTCTCTCTCTCTCATTTACTGTTTTTTGAGTCAGAGTCTCACTTTGTTGCCCAGGCTGGACTGCAGTGGCATGCTCACGGCTGCCATAACCTCAACCTGCTGGGCTCAGGTGATCTTTCTGCCTCAGCCTTCCAAGTAGTTGGTACTACAGGTGCACACCACCATGCCCGGCTAATTTTTTTTTTTTTATTGTAAAGACAATGTCTTTCCAAGTTGCCCAAACTGGTCTTGACCCCTTGGGCTCAGGCAATCTTCTTGTCTCCACCTCCCAAAGTGCTGGGAATACAGGCGTGAGCCACCGCACCATGTTTCTAATTTACTTTTTAAATAAACTATATTTTAGCTGGGCTCGGTGGCTCAGCCTGTAATCCCGTGCCTTTGGGAGGCTGAGGTGAGTGGATT